CACCACCTCGCATTGTTCCTACCTTTGCCATTCCCTCTCTGTCTCCATAGCTCCCAACGCAACGGCATCGGTGTCACACTCGTTGCTCAAAACTTGAACGCTTCCAAGCAGCACTTCTTTCCCATTCCTTTTACAAAAATGGCAGAAGATCAGACAGCCGCAGCAATCAAGGATGAGCAGCTGGCAGAGAAGAAGGGAGCATCATCCGCCATCAAGTCTTTCTTGTCTGGCGGCTTTGGAGGCGTATCAGCCGTGTTGGTAGGACATCCTTTTGACCTGACAAAGACGCGTCTTCAGACGGCCGCCGAAGGCACCTACACGGGAGGCTTGGATGTGGTGCGAAAGACGATCAAGGCGGATGGGGTCAAGGGAATGTACAGAGGAATGGGTCCTCCCCTCGTAGGTGTCACGCCCATCTTTGCCATCAGCTTTTTCAGCTACGATTTGGGCAAGAAGATAGTCTATGGACTCACACCCGATAGAAAAGATCCCAAATTGGGTTTGGGAGAATTGGCTTTTGCTGGATTCTTTAGTGCTGTACCTACCACCCTCGTTGCTGGACCGGCTGAGCGTGTCAAGGTGCTCTTGCAGGTGAGCCACCAATTCTGCGCGGAGATGAACGTATCTCCTAGCCTGATCGCAACACTCATCAGCCTATACCCATATGTCTACTCAAATGTTCGCCTTTTGCCTTGATTTCAGCTTCAAGGTCAATCAGGATCATCAGGTCCTACTTACAACGGACCCGTAGATGTGGTGCGCCAACTTTACAAGGAAGGAGGTTTGAAGAGCGTCTTTAGAGGCACAGCAGCCACGTTGGCTCGCGATGGACCTGGTTCTGCTGCGTGAGTAGTGTGGTGTGCTGATTGTTTTTCAGGCCTTTAAAGAGTGCTTGGGCTGCGGGCGAGAGGTGATGCGAGCGCGCAGAGAGCTCCGCACACAAGGAGCTGCTCGGATGGGCGGGATCCTGATTGGAAGAGGCAGGAGCAGAGCACCATCTTGGTGGAATTTTGACTCTTGTAGCAGGGACGGACTGGGCGCACCATCGTTTGACCCCCCCTTGGTCTGCATGGATGAAAGCGTCGGGGTCTGTGGGGCCTTGGAACGTGCAACTGCTGCATGTGACGCGAACGCGCAGTGCTCGGCGACCTTCAGCGAGAACTTCGGAACCAGAAACACAACGCTTTCGCCTCCCAGATCCGTGCACGATCGCCATCGCCAGTGCAACCTCGTACTGACTGCTTGCGCTTCACCTTCATACTACTTTGCCTACGCGATGGGCGGACAGGTACTTTTGCGCTTATGAGACCATCAAGGCTGGTCTGACACCCAAGGGCCAGGACCCTAGTCAGCTCAACCTGCTCAATGTTCTCACGGCTGGTGGTTTGGCTGGTATGAGCATGGTGAGTATCTAACTCGGAAGACTAGGGGAATGGAGCTCATAGGAGAGTGCAAAAGCTGGCTGCTTTCTGGACACTTGTTGTGGAAATTGGCTCGAGAGCTGCAACACGTGGTACATGCTCCGCGAGAACGCGCATGGACGCGAAGAGCAGAGTATTCAAAAAGGGCGCGACGAAGGGCGTGGAGGACGCTTTGCTGCACGGCTAGAGGCCAGAGAATCAACGCTGACGCACATCACCTCTCTTTCCCTTCTCCCTCTCTACCTTGTCTCTCTACTGCGCTTGACAGTGGCTCGTCGCGATTCCTCCCGACGTGGTCAAGTCTCGTTACCAAGGAGCGCCTCACGGTACTTACAACAGCTTCATAGATTGCGCGAGACAAACAATCGCAAAGGATGGAGTCAAGGCGCTTTTCAAGGGTGCTGGACCCGCCATGCTGCGCGCTTGTGAGTCAGGATAGGTCATTCCTTTTGACCCACCCCCCCATAAAGCCTCGATTCTTGGTTATTGCGGGCCAAAGTTGGCAATTTGTGCATCGGTGCTGAAAATCCGACCTCTTCTTGCTTCCCTTGCCCATATCCATCTTGCCCGCAGTCCCTGCCAACGCTGCCACTTTCGTGAGTGGATCAGAGTCGGATGGCGCAATTGGGCGAAAGGGACGAAAGGCTGACAATCTCCTTTACTCTCGCCTGCATGATCTTCACTCGCCCCTCTCCCAGCTCGGCGTCGAAGTTTCTCTCAAAGCCATGAACAACCTCTTCTGATCCTGGAAAATCCCAGCTCAGCATACATGTCTTGCAATCCCCACAATCTTTGGGGGGAGGGCGAGGGGGGCATCTTTATGCTTCTCACACTTGCGACTTGTTACGGTCATATGCGCTGCTTTTTCGCAGATGCTTGATGAGGATTCAATGTCGCTTTCATGTGCGCGCATGAGAAGGATTTGGGAGGGGGCATGCAAAGCGGCAAGACCAATCGACTGGACTCTCGATCGGAAGTCGATCGTGTGATGCTCGGATGGTGCGACGTTTAGCCATTTATGACGCACGATGCAAATTCGAGATGCATAGCAAATGTTGAGGGT